GGGATACTGCGACGAGTCATATGAAATAAAACATGGAGGACACTATGAAAATTCGCCCCGTGGCTCCATCACATTTCAAGTCAGATGCTTGGATGCATTCTGGCTTTAAAAACAAAGAAGGTAAAAATGAAATTGATATGATGCATGTAATTTGCAAAAGGAGAAATATACATTTGAATGTTTTCTTTTCATTGGTTTAAAGGACCACTGAGGCCATGTAAAAGGCACTGATTATCCTTATTTAGTTATTTTAAGTTTGATGAATCCTAAGATCTTTTCGTCAGTGTGTCCACGCCAGTTATAGTAATATTTCTGTCCAGTATTTGTTTTCATGGCAACACCTCCAAAAGCCGTTTCAATAAATACAGCTATGTATGAATTCAGTTGCTTTCGGTTATGTATCAATTGAAGACACCATCCAGATCATACCCAGCCAGTCAGCCACTGGTAAGGGCTGGATCTTTTTCCTACAGTGTTCAGTGAAAATATTGCGATGCATTGCAATATTTCAAGTATCGTGATGCATCGTGATAGAATCGCAGTGTGGCATGTGAATCGTGATTCAAATTGAATCATGACTTCTTTGCCAATACCCAGCCCTAGTTTCCACAGTCTTACATCATTTCAGAATTCCCTGACTTTTAACTGACTCGGGATTAGTTTTCCCTGACAAAATAAATGCATCCGTTTGTCGTTTTGGTAACTAAATCAAAATTACCGGCTAGGTGGACAAGAATAACGCCATCTGGTGGAAAATCACCCGGCTTTTTCAACTCACGCGAGAATGTGTACAAAACAACAAAAATGGCGCAGGCAGTGCTTCTGGGTCGTATTCATCGAATGTCGGTGATTTTAAAGTAATTTTAAGTGATGAATAATTTCTTTTTGCGATCATTGCACTTGCCTGGCGGGCAAATGCAATGAAATTTGTACTCTCCCAACAATAAAAACTACTAGCCCTGGGAGATCGGGCGATGGTTAACATCAAGTTTGAGGTGATTTAATTAATTTAAAAATAAAAACAATTATTTTCGTCGCGATCACTGAGTCTGGGAGCGGCCATTTTTGCCCAAATATAGTCACCCCTCCCTCCTGCCATCTTCCAGCAGTGACGTCACGGTGCGGTAAGCCTAGCGCCATTCTCCCCGCTTT